CATGGTGGTTTACTGTTTGAAGGTTTTGAGGTTCATCGGAGGAAATTCAAAACTAGATTAAAAATTTTGCGCGGGCTGTGTCTTTTGAAAACAAGGATGGTCAACGTTTTTCTACCTCAGGGGCATAGCCACAGATACGGATCCCCAAGTCCCTCTAACAAAAGTTAAACTGTTGGCAGTCAGATGTACATATTATATATGAAATAATGACATCTAGTTATTTAAAAAAATTTTGGTGTTTTTCGTCTTGGTTAATGATACATTCTCCCAGGTAGAGAATGTTTTTCCCAGCATTGACCACTCGATTCCAACAAGTACCACATTTTTGGCAAAACTGGTACCTGTGGGGCGATTTGGACGTCAGGTTTACGTTGTAACATTTTGCGCAAAGTTTGGTTGTTCTGAATTCATTAACCATCAGAATATATATGTACATGCCGTTGTTTTAATGCTGCGATTAGTAACCGATTTGGTGTACGCCTATATCCGCGTATTGGCGAGTTCGCAGCAATCTCTGTTGATCCGATGCAGATTAACGTTTTCTCTTCTTTGTTATTTATGTAGTTTATTTTGATTTTCACAGGAACATTGTTCTGGATGCCAGCTAAAATGAGCCGACACCCAGGATCTAGCGCAATCTTGTTGTCGTATTTTGTTTCGCGTATTTTTATTAGATCACCTTCACAATCGGTTTCAGTTTTCTTTTTTTGCCTTTGGTTTCATTTTGTATTTTCTTTTCCATGTTGAAGGAATTTTAAAATATTTTCCAAATTCACTTTTATCGAAGGAAGGAAATGGTCCTTTGAAGAATTTTAATCGACACAATAGTTGATGAAACGCAAATCGATCGTATCTGACGTGATGTAAACCGTGTTTTAGTTGTGGTATTAGTGAAACATTTTGTTTCCTTGATTCATTATACCGTTGCAGGTTATAAAATAATTCGATGGAAGACCAAAATAGTTTGACATTTTCTATTTTGTGTAGTTTATTGCCGTTCCATTTTAAATTGGTACGCATACGTTCAAGTAACGATTGATCTGGGATATTTTTGGTATTTTTTTCGAATAGGTAGCTATAGTGTACTATATACCTTTTTTTGTCTTCTTCAAATTTGAAGTATTTTCTGAGCCGAGTATAACCCTGCATCCAAATATTGTTATGGTATAGTCAGAAATTGATTCGCGTTTTCCACAAAAAAATTCCACCGATACGAACTATCGTACAACTTGAGTTTTTTTCGCAGCATATTATACTCCTGGTCTATTGTATATTTTGTTTTCTTCTTTACCATCAAGTGGTAATAACAGTCCAGAAAATTTATGGGTTCAAAGTTTTGTTGTTCCCAACGTTTCAACAGTGTAAAGTGAATGTATCTTGGATACCTCGACGAATAGAGACGACATCTCCTCCACATCCTTTTGTATTTGATCATATACGGCGTCATTTTTGCACGACGATCGTAAAGCCTTTTTCACCACGGAACAGGTTGTTTTATTACATTCACCCTCTTGGCGAAAGCAGCAAGCCAAGTGGCGTTTTGGGACTCATGACGAAAAATTAATTTTATTGCAAATTCCGTCTAAATAAGTTTTACATTCCTCGCCGCTAACCTTACACTATTCAAAAAGAATTGACCGCATGCAAAAAATCTACAAATTACCAAATTTTCGTTATTACATCACATTAAAAACTAATAAAACGAGCCATAAACTCGACTGTAACTCGATACAGATATGTGCAAAATACCAAGAACATAAAGTGCGAATTATTTCAAAAAAAAAAAAAATAATAATAATATGCCGTTGGGAACAAAAAATAATTCCAAATTAAATAAGATTCCGAGGAATTTTGAAAAACTGGAAATTAGCAATATACATATTGTAAATATACGGGCAGGTTCTAGAATTCACTTCCGAGTAAATTTCAACCCCTGCCAATTTGAATTCAAAGCGAACTTGACTCGAATTCACTCGGAAGTGAATTGCAGAACCTGCCGGATAGTTTATAATCTATAGTAGTGTTTTACTTTCTTATTCGCTTAAGTAAATAATTTAAAATTAATATAAGTATATTTTGGCATACGTTTTATGAAATTATGTTATCCAGTTAAAAAGTTAGCAACATTAATATATGTAATTCAGAGGTTAAATGGCTGTGTCTCACAAATACAGACAATGCGAACAAAGCTAACCTAACGGTGAGTGAAAGGGGCCTGGCTAACAATAATTGTACTTGTACCATTTTGTAATTAACTTCTAGTTTAGCTTTATTTTAATTGCTATAAGATGATAAGGCTTATTAAGAACATTCGCTATAATGCGGCCCGCAGATCCGGAAATAGCTGAAAGTTATGTAAAAGTATTTAAGATTTTATATTGATCAACAAAATGTTATCAAAGATTGTAAATAAATAAGTAACCTTAAAAATAAATCAACCTGATTAGATATAAACGTTACGATTACTAACTACTATTGAGCTGTTAACAAGTTATATTAGAATTGCAGAGTAAAAGATTACATAAATTCGTTACTGTGACTAGGTAAGAAAGTGGAAGAAACTATAATTGAATAAAGCAACGAAAATACACATCATAACACGTTTTTCATTCAACCTGAATATCTTTGTTGATGTCTAATCTAAGAAAATAAAATCCTTTAAATAATGTTGGCTGGCATGCGTTGTTGTTTTAGTAGCATTTATCCCCCGAATTGGCTGTTATTCATCCTCGCCGTCTGACTCTTCCATCTCGAGTCCTAAGAAGCTTGCGGTTTCTCTGGTTTGAACTCAGAACGCCTCTGGTGTCACCTTGCTTGGGTGGTTGGGGCTTGCGAAAAGATGGACGATGCTGTACGGACCGTTATCGTCTCCTGAGTTTGTGTCTACCATCTTCGGATCCTCCTCCTTTCGTCGTGAATAGAGATGGAGAGTGCTGAGTTATATCTCGTTCCAGTTGATTAAGATGCCTCCTAACTACTAGCTACTTGTTTTGTTGAACGATTCCAACTTTTTATGTTTTTTTTTTTAAAGGCACATGCCTGTATAGTCTTATTTTATTCATTTTTATGCAAGTAATTGCTGAACCATGAATGAAAAGAACTTAAATTATAACTTATTTGATAATTGCGAGTAACAAATTTCAAATTATTAAAGCTTATTTGAAATGGGTAGCGCGTATATTTTCTATGATTTTTGAATGTTTCCGTTTTGCCCTGAAGGAGTTGTACTCAAAAAATGTACGCAAGAAACCCAAAGTAACACATCTAATTTCCTAACACTAAAGATATTTAGTTCCCGAATTTTGACAATATTTGGGAACTGTTACCAAGGATTTGAGAACTATTACCATGGGTTGGTAATTATAACTAAATATATTAAAGCTTCTAATATTCATCTAGGTTGCACCAAATCGTTCATTTAGTTGAAGTGTTTGGTAAATACTAATAAATATTTTTTTTATGCATATTTCTACAAATTCCATTCAACTTAACGTATGGTTCATAAAAGGATGTCATTAAGCTCTGCTAATACAGATAAGCTTTCTTTGAACACATGGTTTAGCCATAGCTACCTAAGCTTAGTTGAGGCAACCACGATTTGGTTTGAGAACGGAACACATTCATGCTTTTGAGCCACCCCTAAATAATGCTGAGCGCTCTCTGAGCGTTTGTGTGTTTCACATACGAAGAGCGCCAGCTGAACAATGCACACAGTCCCACTTATTGAATCGTTAGAATGTGCTTGTATGCCGACAATTGCATAAAAACGATTCAATGAATGAGACTGTGTGCGTGGAAATCATTGCTCCGCTACCGCTGTTCGTATATGGGTGAAACACGTGTGTGGTCACAGAGCGCTCAGTAAGCTATGGCATGTCGATCACTGCACTAGGTAGAGAAAGAAGTGTGTGCTATGACATGCCCAGACTTGTTGTTTGTCTCAGTTTCAGTTTTGCCACCGCCGCGAGTTGTTTCGGTGTGCGCATAGTTATTTAAAAATATAAAGTTTGATGCCACCCGGGGTGAATATATAATTCATGTGAATTATAATTTGAAAGTAGCTATTTAGCCAAGGAAAAAGCAAAGTAGTTTCGTTTTGTAATTATGTATTTACAAATATACATTTGTCCCAACTAAGTCTCAAGTAAATTGCAGACTTTCGTGAACTAGATATTTATTTCGCCATATCCAACTATGCCACTTGGTCACTATAACCAAATCTTGGTAATTATAATTAAACCTTTTTCTGAGTGTGGTCCAAAGTTATGCGGTAACATACATTTAAAAGAAAATCCGACGAATTGATAACCTTTCCCTTTTCGTTAAGTTGGTTAAAAAATTAAATAAGGTACAGAAACTTGTAAATTTTTTTATTAAAATGATCCAGGGCATTAATAAAATTAACGCAGAACGCGAATTAACCCTCACTTGATGGGTTTAATAGAAATTTGACCTTCGCGCAAAGTTTGGTGGCCCCACCCTGCCTGTATATTGCAGGTCTTTACGTGCTCCATTACCAAATCTATATCTATTTGTGACATAAAGTGTTCATTGATGGTCGGAAATTAAACTTTTACTTTCTTAAAAATAAAGTCAACATTTTAGTTAAATTATTTCTTATTATATTTGTATGACAAAAATTTAATAGCCTTAGGTAGTACATAAATACATAGGATTCTCAATTTTACTATCGTTCCTACTCTTTAGTCGGTCACGGGAGAAAGAGGACTACACCTATTCTTGTTGAGTTTCCTCTAGATTTACAAATACATTTCGCATTTTTTCTAAGTCAGGTGGAGCTGTATCGGGGTTTCTTATCCAAAAGTGGTATGCCCGTTTATCCGTTTGCGTTAGAGGCTTAAAGCTTTTTGGATTCAATGCGTCCGCGCCTGTGATTTTTGAGTTATAGCGAGCATACAAGAACACCCGGTACCGCCAGTTATCGAAAGTCTAGGAAAACGAATAAATTTAACTAATCACGATATGAAAAAGAAAACAAATTCTTTATGTTATTTATTTCACCTGTTTCCACTCCGCTACGTGCTTTACAGCACCTTGTGGCACTGAGTTTAGAATATCAGCTAACTTTACCCAATATTGATCTAATATGGGGTCGCTCCGCCGATGTTCGTTTATAGCGGGATTCTGTTCCATAAAATTGACATATATTTCTTTTTGCTTTTTCGACATCCGCTCCTTACGTTCTGAAACAATTGAAATTATTTTTAAAAATATGTAAAATTTTGTATTGATGCTACTGAAATACAGATGTAAGTATACAGAGTGTCGTAGACCATCCGTCCATTAATTAAGGCTATGTAATAATAGCCTTTAAAAGCAGATTCGTTCGATGGAAAATCGAAATAGTTGATGGGAAAATATTGGGCTTTGTCCCAATCTTGACAACTAATTTTTTACATTTGTAAAATAAATTTCCAATTGTACCAAAACTCTTAAATTATTTAACTTTTACTGTTTATTGTTAATTAGTTTTCAGTTTATGAGGGATTTTCTTTAGTAAAATTTTGTCGTAAGCGTCATTTGTCCACAATTTGGCAGCCACTGTGTATGAAATACGACAAAATGTGATCAAAATTTCAACTAAATTAACGACACTTTTTACTCAATATCTCGGAAACTAAAGGAGATATACAAAAATGAAGACCACCATTTCTAAGATATTGATTAGTTTAATATGACTGCATCACTAACTAAATTTTTACTAAATTATCGAAAAAATTTTAGCAAATATCTCGGAAACTAAAGGAGATATCTAAAAACTGCTAATAGCACCATCGAAAGACCTCATTTCATAATATATAACTGCATCTGAAACTAAAAATCGTCAGGCGACGAAATGTACCAACCGTGTGAAACGGCCTTAATGCATTCTTTGGCCCGCTCAGCTCCGGCCTCGAAAAGTGAGCAGGTTCAATGGTTCTTTAGTAAGTAATTATGTATGTACATATGTATGTCTACGTTACCGATACATACGTCTAAAGCTATTTCCAGTATTATTCTCTTGCATCAGGGCCTCGAAATGTTGTTGTTGTTGGTGTTGTTGTAGAGCATATTCGTGTTGTAAACGTTC